AATTTACATTGCACGACATCCTGCCGTCTGTTTGTACGAGTATGCGTGTGCGAATGCATTTGGGTGTGAATGGAATGTTCGTTGTGTTTTGTTTGCTTTCGCATTTTCGCTTGATGCATTTGCAGGTACTCGCGCAATGTGCGCTTCGGCACAACATTGTACGCGCTATGAACAGTGCAAGCAAAAAGGACGAGCTCGCAAAGGAACCCAAGATGGAAGCTTTGCAGTTCGGTTGAGTTGATTGCGCAGATTCAGTTCTATCCAACTCGAAATTGTACTGTTTTGTTTGGTTAACTATAGTGTAGCAGGGAAGGCACTATAGGGGTACAATTTAGGTGAAGGTTGGATGTTGTTTGTCTGTATCTGCATGCTACAGGGCCAGGGAAAACCAGCGGAACCAGCATTTGGCTGGTTAGGCAAAGACAAAACAGGTTCTGTTTTTAGAACCTGAACCTGGTTGTTGTTTTTCCCAGGTTGGAAAAACAGAACCAGAGGTTGTTTACCAACCTACCACCTGCTATTTTGTCCAGCCAGGTTGGTTCTATTGCTTGGAATTATTTGGGATTATCCCTGGTTGTTCCCAGGTTGATTCCCAAGGTCCTTGCTAGCTAGAACTATATATTCCTTCTCTGTTTGTACCTGAATATAGTCAAATTGATTCATGCGAATTCCTTCCTCGCTGGAATTCGTTCTACGCGGTTCGTTGGCGGAATGCTACCCGAGTCAACGCTAGTACGCTAGCACTCTAATGCTAGGCAAACACCGTCTGAGCCATAACTTCGTAATGGCAGAACTTTTTCGCGGGCAACTTGGCTCATTTTAAGCTCTTGGAGCGAGCTTCGATATAGCGAATTCTCAGCTTAATCCGATCGACGGTCTGCACGGCACGCTGCGCGACGTTCAAGGTGCTCTTGCTGTTTTGACTAAGTCCTTCTTGATCCCTCTCTCTACAAACTCGGACCCGAGGATAGGGGCTGGTCTTGTACCAGGCACCCAGGGACCCTTGGAGGTGACCCCGAGGAGAGGTTTTTAAGTTTGATTAAGTCCATAATAGCTTGAGTTTATTAGGCCCTTACACCAACAAGAAGTCGACCAGACATTCTGGTCGACCTGGGACGTCGACCAGCCCCTTCTGGGGCGACCTGGGACGTCGACCAGCCCTTCTGGTCGACCTGGGACGTCGACCAGACCTTCTGGTCGACCTGGTAAGTCGACCAGACCTTCTGGTCGACCTGGTTGGTCGACCAGGCCTTCTGGTCGACCAGGAGTGACGTCGACTTGGAGCTGGTCGACCAGGGGATAGTGGTCGACCTGGGGAGGTCGACTGGAGGTGGCCGTCGACTTGGGAGGTCGACCGGCACGTACCAGAGGCAGTGGTCGACCTGGGAGGTTGAACGGAAGTGGTCGTCGACCTGGGTGGTTGACAGGCACGCACTGGAGCCTCTGGTCGACCTGGTTGCCCGGTCGACCAGGTTACCTGGGTGACGAGGTGCTGCGAAGGCTTGCGATGGTCGCCCAGGTGGTTTTTGCGAGGACGACCTCGGTGATGGTATCCCGAGGTCGACGTGGTGCATCAGAAGCAGTCGTCAGCACGAAGTTGATGTGGTGTGTGCGTTGTGCAGGTGACGAGGCACTACACGCCAATCATCTGCGAGCACCTGCGAAGTAGGTGCGCTGCTGTCCTGCGGGAGCAACGTTGGCGCGCCGTCAACCTGCGACGTTGGCACGTCGTCGACCTGCAGTGTTGGCAAGCCGCGACTCTGCGCTGCTGGAGCGCGGTCGACCAAGTCGTGTTGGCACGCGGTCGACCGTGCTGCGCTGGCAGTCGTCCTGCTTGCATGCTAGATCTGATGTAGTCTTGCCTTGCCAACTTCTTTGTATCATTGTTGTCAACTTTCTCTAGTGAAACTCTTGCCAAATTGCCTTGTGAACTAGCAAGCAGTGTGTGCACTAGGAGAACGACTAAGGACCAACGAACGCAAAGATCACACGAGCACCCGTGCCTAGCCCGTAGTCTAGCTCCCGTTGTAGTAGTTATCTCCGCATGGTGCGGTGAGCGTGGACGGCACCCGACTTACCTTTCAGTCTAGTCGACTTAGTAGGCACCTTACCTAAGTTGTTCGTAGGCCGGCAGCTGTGTGGTAGTCACTATGGTAGGCGCCGTAGGTGACACGGGGGTGGTGGACACCCTGGAGGCACGGCTGGAGAGCGCGAAGAGACGCCATGAGGCGAAGGAGTTCGGCGACATCCCTTGGGCGGTCGTCGACGCTGGCATCCGTTCCGTGTGGGCGACGGAGCACCCTCCTTCTCAGCCTGCGTCTCCTCAACCGGTGAACGACGAAGGCGGCGTCGACGTGGGCGTCAACGCCGGGGGCGACCAAGTCGGCAGCAGTGCGGGAGGCACGTCGTCGAGGCAGCGTTCAGGCGCGAGGAATGCGGTCGTCGGCGGCTGCAGGCTCCTCGCAGGGTGATGTCGGAGGTCGACGAAGTGGATCAGTGCCAATGTCGGCGACCCAGGTGACAGCAGGCGGGATTGCACCGAGCTACGGCTACTTCAAGTTTACGCCGGACAGGATCTTGGTCACTCCCCTGCTGGTTGGTCGACCCGACATACTCACCTGGAAGGAAGCCATCGAGCCTCAGCTGGAGATGGCCGGACTGATAAACTTTGCTCGTGGTACTGTGGCGACGCCGGACGACCCCGACTTGCGAGCGGAGTTCCGCGCTGTGCAGCTGTTGACCTTCACAATCATCTCACGGTGCTGCTCGCCGGGCGTGCAGATCGCCTTGAAGTGGTGCAGAGAGTACCTCGACGCCGGCCACCAGGCGTGGCACTTCATCGAGTCGACCTACCAAGTCACCGACGACTTGTTCATCGCCCAACTGGAGGGGCAGCTGACACACCTGCGTATGGGCGACCAGGAAACGGCGACCGACTACTGCAACCGAGCCCGGCGAATTCTCGCCACCATCAGGATGGCCGGCGCGGAGTACTCGACGGCGTCGTACGTCACCCATGTCATGCAGGGACTCCCGAGCAGCTACAACTTGCTGAAGCGGCTGTCGATGGTGCCGAGCACGCGGGCGACGCTCAACGAGGACACGTTGACCTCGTACATCCTGCAGGACGAGGCGATGCAGGAGGCCGAGCGGTCCCAAGAGCTCTTGGCGCAGGTAAACTACGTCGCCACGCGCGAAGCAAGGCGGTCGACCAGGGCAGCGTGGACAGTCTGGTGGCGGTGGTAGCAGTGGCTCGAAGTCGACCAAGGAAGTCGACAAGAAGAAGTCGACCAAGGACAACGGCCGAGGAGGAGGAAGTCGACGTCGGGAATGCTGGCTGTGCGGCGACCCCGACCACCTCTCCTTCGAGTGCCCCGACCGCAGTGACTCGGACGACGACGACAAGGGAGGCCGCGGGAGGTCTGTCAGTCCTCGACCTCGTCGAGGATGGAGCCAGCCGTGCAAGGAGAAGCAGTCGACCAAGTCGTCGACCTCGGCGAAGGACGCCGACTCCTCTGCTGGCGGCAAGGGGCGAGACGACAAGTCGGCGTCGTGCTCTCTGGTCGGCGTCGTGGAGCCGACCGTTTCGCTGGCGCCAGAGGCCGGCGAGGACTTCCAGGCGATGGCGGCAGCTGTGCAGGCTAACCCGGCGGTGGTCCTGCTCGACAGCGGCTGCTCCCACCACCTGATGGGGACAAAGGACGCCTTCGTCGACCTGGGGCCGAGCGGCGACGTGAAGCACGTGCGTGGCTTCAATGGGGCGCTGCAGGACGTCCAGGGCCGCGGCACCGTCGCCCTGCAAGGCGAGGCCGGGAAGCAGGTGCTCATCCCCGACGTGCTGTACGTCCTGGGTGTGCGAGCAAACCTGCTGTCGTCCGGCCAGTTGAAGGAGCACGGCGTGAAGTTTCGGGAGGACGGCGATGAGATGCTGCTCGTCTCGGCAGCAGGGAAGGTACTTGGTCGGGCGACGTACTCCGGGCGAGTCCTCTGCACCGACCTGCGTCCCTGCTCAACGAGGTCGATGTCGCCAATGCCGGAGATTGTGGCCCTGCGGGTGATCGTCTCCAAGACGAAGTCGACGCCAGACAGGATGCATGCTCGGCTTGCGCACGTCGGCATGGACACCATCCGGAGCTCGGCGAAGAACGAGGTCGCCATTGGGCTGGACCTCAAGTCGGCGACGGGCGCCGACTCACCGTGTGTCTCGTGCGTCGGCGGGAAGCTGGCACGGCACACCTTCCCCGACCAAGGCTCCGACGCCGCCGACGTGCTAGCCGTCGTCCACATCGACCTGTGCGGGCCGTTCCGCGTTACTGAAGGACCGTAAGACCTGCTTCGTGTGGGTGAGGCCGGTCACCAAGAAGTCGGATGTGCTGCTGGAGTTCCAGAAGTGGCTGGTGCTGGTGGAGAGGCAGACGAAGAAGTCGGTGTTGATGCTGCGCTCGGACCAAGGCGGGGAATTCCTCGGGAGGACGTTCACCGACTTCGTGGACGGCAAGGGGATCGTCCACGACCTGACCTGCCCGTACACCCCGCAGCAGAACGGCATGGCGGAGCGGGAGATGCGGACGGTGGTGGAGTCGGTGCGGACGATGCTGCTGCACATGGGCGTGCAGCACCACTGGTGGCACCTTGCTCTGCGGCAGGCCGTCTGGATCCGCAACTGCCTGGAGCGGTCGGCCACGCCGGGGACGACGCCGTACCAGCTGCTGACTGGGACGAAGCCCGACTTGTCGCTGGCGCGCGTGTGGGGCTGCATGGCGCAGTTCCTTGTCCCCGAGCAGCAGCGTGGTGGTAAGCTGAAGCCGAAGGCCAGGTGGGGCCTTCACCTCGGCGTGTCGGAGGCGAGCAAGGGCTGGGAGCTCCTTGACATTGCAGCCAACCAGGTGGTCACCACGTCGGACGTGGTGTTCTACGAGGACATGTCGTTGGAGGAGTGGAAGTCGGCGCACGGGCCTGTGTCAGGGCGGACGCTGATGGCCACGCCAACGGATACCTCGACGGCAACTCTCCCTCTGCTCGCCGAGGTCGGTGAGCTTGCTGAGGACGACGCCGAGGTCGTCCACCCTTCCTCCCCCTCCCCTGCCCCTCCCCTCGTCGACCTGCGTGGGCTGACTCCGCTGTCGGCCTCCGGCGATGAGGGGAGCAATGGGACGTCGCCTGTGGCGCCGACCAAGGGCATCGCCAGTGGCCGACGGGACGAGCAGCAAGTCGACGAGCAGCAGGTCGACCTAGGAGGAGTGCAGTCGACCTGGATAAGGGGGGAGCAGGTCGAGGAGGTGCAGCCGATTTGGGAGCAGCCCACAAGGAAGCAGGCAGCTGCAAGCCGACCAAGGAGCAATCGGCGACCTGGCAGTCGGCAGGGGAGCTGACCGCAGGGGAGAAGTCGGTCGGGACGCCGACCGAGGTGCAGCAGAACGATGAGGACGGCAATGAAGATGAAGGGGAGCAGTTGGGCGACGAAGAGTCCACCCGCGAGGTGGTGGGGTTCCGCCAGAACCCCGGAAGTCAGGTCGACTTCGGAGGCCTCCCGACTTCTTCATCCCGGCCGCCTTCACCACGGGTTATGACTCTTGGGTGGCAAATGCACATTGCACGACATCCTGCCGTCTGTTTGTACGAGTATGCGTGTGCGAATGCATTTGCGTGTGAATGGTGTGTTCGTGTGTTTGTTTGCTTTCGCATTTTTTCGCTTGATGCATTTGCAGGTACTCGCGCAATGTGCGCTTTGGCACAACATTGTATGCGCTATGAACAGTGCAAGCAGAAAGGACGAGCTCGCAAAGGAACCCAAGATGGAAGCTTTGCAGTTCGGTTGAGTTGATTGCGCAGATTCAGTTCTATCCAACTCGAAATTGTACTGTTTTGTTTGGTTAACTATAGTGTAGCAGGGAAGGCACTATAGGGGTACAATTTAGGTGAAGGTTGGATGTTTTTTGTCTGTATCTGCATGCTACAAGGCCAGGGGAAACCAGCGGAACCAGCATTTGGCTGGTTGGGCAAAGACAAAACAGGTTCTGTTTTTAGAACCTGAACCTGGTTGTTGTTTTCCCAGGTTGGAAAAACAGAACCAGAGGTTGTTTACCAACCTACCACCTGCTATTTTGTCCAGCCAGGTTGGTTCTGTTGCTTGGAATTATTTGGGATCATCCCTGGTTGTTCCCAGGTTGATTCCCAAGGTCCTTGCTAGCTAGAACTATTTAATCCTTCTCTGTTTGTACCTGAATATAGTCAAATTGATTCAAGCGAATTCCTTCCTCGCTGGAATTTCGTTTCTGTGCTATTCGACGGCGGAATGCTACCCGAGTCAACGCTAGTATGCTAGCACTCCAACGCTAGGCAAACGCTGTCCGAGCCATAACTTAGTAATGGCAGAACTTTTCGCGAGGCAACTTGGCTCATTTTAAAGCTCTTGGAGCGAGCTTCGATATAGCGAATTCTCAGCTTAATCCGACCGACGGTCTGCACGGCACGCTGCGCGACGTTCAAGGTACTCTTGCTGTTTTGACTAAGTCCTTCTTGATCCCTCTCTCTACAAACTCGGACCCGAGGATAGGGGCTGGTCTTGTACCAGGCACCCAGGGACCCTTGGAGGTGACCCCGAGGAGAGGTTTTAAGTTTGATTAAGTCCTAATAGCTTGAGTTTATTAGGCCCTTACACCAACAAGCTGGTATCAGAGCCGCGTTATAGTGATCCTCGTTATAGGTAGCTATGGCGGGCAACACCTCGGCGGGAGCTGGTGAATCTTCAGCCCAAGATCGTAGCGGCAGCCAAGATTCTGGTCTTTCAGCGCCAAGGGGAGCGCGAACAAACCAGGGCTCGCTTGTCAAGGAGGTGCTGAAGAATTTCACCGTCGAGAAGTTCAATGGTGAGGGCTATGATGATTGGGCCTGGAAAATGCAATTATATTTCCGTCAGATCGGTTTGCTGAAACTAATGATTGGGGAGGAGCCTAGACCGAGTGACCCCACGCTGCAGGAAGATTGGGACGAGCGCTCCTCGGCTGGCTACTATTTGATGTCGCAGAGTTTGGAGCTGAACCAGCGTCACCACGTCATGCACCTGCTGCCGGAGGTTGAATGCGGTCCGAAGGCGTGGACCGTGTTGAAGGAGCTGCACGCCCCGACCTCCGTTGTCGCAACGTTGATGCTGGAGAGGGAGCTGTCCGCGTTGCGCCTGAGCGAGGGAGAGCCGGTGCAACCAGTCCTGGACAAGATGCGCGACCTCTACGCGAAGTTGGCGACCGCGGGAATCACCTACCCGGAGCAGACCAAGTGCTTGAAGATGCTCTCGCTGCTGCCGGAATCGTGGCTTCAATTTACGAGCGGATTGAGCCTGCCGCAGAACCAGAGCTTGTGGACGCTCGAGTGGGTGCGGACGAAGATTCTGGAGGAGGACTTCCGTCGCCGCCAACTGAGGGGTGGAGACGACGGCAGCAGCGGCTACGGGATGCAAGGGAGCCGACGTGGCAGAGGACGTGGCTTCGGTGGTGCTGGACGCGGTGCAAAGAAAGACGACGACTCCAACGACCAACAAGGAGGTACCGGTTGGGGTCGCGGTGCGAAATCTGGACGTGGGGGCAAGTCGGGTGCTGGTGGCAAAATGAAAGGGAGTTGCTGGTATTGTGAGAAGGAAGGGCACCCCTGGTTTTTGTGCTATAAGAAACCCGATGGATGGACCCCCCAGAATCGTCACCAGGATGGCGGCGCGCGGAGGAACCAGAAAAACGGCGCCAACATGGTCGCTGATTCGTCCGACAACAACCCGAAGGGCAACGGCGGTGCGGAGAAGAAGAAGGAGCGCACCGCGGGCCAATTCTTCCATGTGGGAGACAAGGGGAGCAAGGAGACGCCTCTGCCAAAGTTGGAGCAGAGCTGCACCCCCTAGACTATTGGGTGTTGGACACAGGCGCTGCTTGGACGATGACGCCGCGCAAGGACCTGCTGGACGAAGTACGAGCTGCACCGATCAATGAAGTGTGCTCCGCCTCTGGACACATGTTGAAGGTGGCTGGTGCGGGACGAGCTGCGTTTAAGGGAGCGGATGGCAAGCCGGTGGTGCTGCACGACGTTCTCTTCGTCCCCGACCTGAAGGCCAACCTTATCTCCCTCCGTAAGCTTGGCAAGGCTGGGGTGAACACCAACACGGATGGGGCACGCACTTATAAGGGGAAGCTGGGCAATCGGTTGCTTTGGGATCTGCACGAGAGCAAGGACGTGTACAGATCTATGTGGCAGCTGCCGGCCCTGGCGTGGCATGGTGGGGGGCAGGCTGGAGAGGGGTCTGCATCCCAGGGGAAGTGCAACGCCGTTGGAGGGGTTGGTGTGAAAGTGTCGGCCAGATCTGGGGAGACAGATTGGGCAACGGCACACCGGCGCTTAGGGCATGTGGCAATGCCTTTGCTGAAGCAGCTGGAGAAGGATGGAGCCGTTAAGGGTCTGAAGCTGAACGGACAGCCACCCGATGACAACTGTGAAATCTGTTTGCTTTCAAAGTTCACCCGTTTCCCTTTCCATAGTGTGGCTGGCAGGAGCAAGAAGCCTTTGGAGCTGGTCCACATGGACTTGGTGGGGCCGCTGCCGGTGCAAGGGCACAAGGGGGAGCGGTATTTTCTTACAATTGTGGATGACTGGAGCAGGCTGATGTGGGCGTATCCGCTGAAGCAGAAGGACCACGCCGCCTCCACGATACGGGACGATTGGCTGCCATTCGTGGAGAAGCAGGCGAAGTGTGTAGTGAAGCGGATTAGGACAGACCGGGGTGGTGAGTTCCTTGGAGCTGAAATGACGGCCTGGCTCAAGAAGCAGGGCATCCAGAGAGAGCTGACCACGGCTTATACCCCACAGTCCAATGGTGTAGCAGAACGGGCAAACCGGACCATTCTGGAGACAGCTAGGGCGCTGCTCATAGAATCTGGGCTGAGCAATTCTATGTGGCCTCATGCTGTCCGGCACGCCACTGTCGCTAGGAACAGGGTGCTCACCAAGGTTGGGGATGACTCGTGGGTGCCGTTGGAGAGGTGGCTTGGGAGGAAGCCGCCGGTGGACATGCTGAGGGTGTTCGGTTGCATGGCAGTCGCCCACGTCCCCAAGACCTACCGCAGTAAGTTGGGGGCGAGTGCAATCTGGTGTGTGCATTTGGGGCTGGCTGCTGAGAGCAAGGGATGGCTGCTGTGGGAACCATCCAAGGGTGTGTTGTTTGACAGCAGGGATGTGAAATTCATTGAGGCCATGATGTATGGGAGCTGGGAGAAACAGCCGGAGGCAAGGGTGTCCCAGCAGATGGAGCAGATCACCATGCAGCTGGACCTGACTCCTAGTGTGTGGGAGGAGGGAGAGGAGGCAGCTGCTGGAAATGGTGATGGAGAGAAGGTACAGGAGGCATCTGCTGGTGGAGAAAATGGTGTGGAAACTGGCGGCAGCACTAGTGGAGCTGCTGGACCCGAGGGAGGAGAGAAGCAGCAGGGAAAAACTAAGAAGCCGAAGGGTGTCGTTATGAAGGGATGGGAGACACCCGTCTCCAGGCCAGGACGTACCCGTATGGCTACTAAGAAGCTGACTGCAGGAACTGATGCAGCAGAGCAGCAGCTAGGGACCGAAGAGGCATTGCTGATTCTACCTCATGGCTATGACCCGGATGAGGAGGATGAGCCTGCGTACTGTTTTCTTGCCCCTGCACCAGAGGAACCAGCTAGCATGGAGGAGGCATTAGCTGGACCAGATAGGGACAAGTGGCTGGCTTCTAGGGATGCTGAGTACCAGAGTCTGCTGGAGAATAGGACATGGGATCTGGTGGTGCTGCCTGATGGGAAGAAAGCGATACAATGCAAGTGGGTGCTGAGGATCAAGACCGATGACAAGGGGCAGGTCACCATCTACAAGAGTAGGCTGGTGGCGAAGGGGTTTATGCAGAAGGAGAAGCAGGACTTCAACGAAATCTTTGCTCCCACTGCCAAACCCCCTACCCTCCGTGTCTTGTTGGCAGATGCAGCTGTTAGTGGGAAATTCATCATTCAGATGGATATTTCAACGGCATTCCTGAATGGGATTTTAGAGGAGGATGTGTACATGACGCAGCCGCCTGGGTATGAGGATGGTACGGGCAGGGTGTGCAAGCTCAACAAGTCCATCTACGGCTTGAAGCAGGCGCCACGCTGCTGGTACCAGAAGTTGGCAGTTGTTTTAGAGGAGATAGGGTTCAGGACCAGCAGCTGTGATGAGAGCCTCTTTCTCAAGGGCGAGGGGGAGAAGCTGGTGCTGTTTTTGGTCTATGTGGACGACATTCTTCTCTTCAGCAGCAGCATGAAGGAGATCCAGAAAGTGCAGCAGCAACTGATGGAGAACTTCAAGTGCAAGAACCTTGGGGAGGTAAAGTACTACCTCGGGATGCACGTGGAGAGGGATCCTGATCACAGGTGGTTGAAGCTGCACCAGGAGAAGTTCATCAAGGAGCTGGGGGAGAAGTATGGGATTGAGAATGAGCGCAAGGTTGCAACTCCCCTGCCAGCAGAATTCAAGCTTGTGAAGGCTGCAGAGGATGAAGGGGTTGAAGCCGAGGAGCAGCAGCAATTTCAGTCCTTGGTGGGCAGCCTCTTGTACGCAGCAGTTCACACGAGGCCCGACATCTCTTTCTCGGTTGGGCAGCTGGCTAGGGTGGTGCAGAATCCATCAGAGGAGCAGGTGGATGCAGCTGAGCGTGTGGTGAAGTACCTGAACTCTCACCCAAGCATTGGAGTTCAATACTCCGCATCTGCACAGGTGAAGCAGAAAGGGGTGGAGGTGCTGAAAGAGAAGGGGGAGAGGCTTGGAGAAGGCAAGCTATTTCTCACTTGCTTTACCGATGCTACATGGGCTTCTGAGAAGGAGGATTCCTCATCTGTGGGAGGATACATCTGCGTAGTTGGGGGAGGACCTGTTAGTTGGAGGTCCAAGAAGCAGACGGAGACGGCACTCTCTTCCGTAGAATCAGAGTACATGGCGATGTTCCATGGGGTGAAGGAGGTGATTTGGCTGAGGAGGCTGTTAGAGGAGATTGGCCAGGAGCAGAAAGTTGCTACGCCGCTGTTTTGTGATAGCAAGGGGGCTCTTGGGATGGCCAGAAACGCTGTGCTTCATGGGCTGAACAAGCACATGCGTATCAAGTGGCACTGGCTGCGTAAGGAGGTGAAGAGGGGGACGGTGCATCCGATCTACATCAAGACTCACCAGCAGCCAGCAGACTTTCTCACCAAGAGGCTTGCGGATGAGCCTCATTGGCGTTGTGTGCGCATGAGTGGAATGAGCATGAACTAGCATGGAATGACGGGGATGCAGCCGGCAGGCTGAGGGGGAGTGTGTTGGGTGCAAATGCACATTGCACGACATCCTGCCGTCTGTTTGTACGAGTATGCGTGTGCGAATGCATTTGCGTGTGAATGGTGTGTTCGTGTGTTTGTTTGCTTTCGCATTTTTCGCTTGATGCATTTGCAGGTACTCGCGCAATGTGCGCTTTGGCACAACATTGTATGCGCTATGAACAGTGCAAGCAGAAAGGACGAGCTCGCAAAGGAACCCAAGATGGAAGCTTTGCAGTTCGGTTGAGTTGATTGCGCAGATTCAGTTCTATCCAACTCGGAATTGTACTGTTTTGTTTGGTTAACTATAGTGTAGCAGGGAAGGCACTATAGGGGTACAATTTAGGTGAAGGTTGGATGTTCTTTGTCTGTATCTGCATGCTACAAGGCCAGGGGAAACCAGCGGAACCAGCATTTGGCTGGTTGGGCAAAGACAAAACAGATTCTGTTTTTAGAACCTGAACCTGGTTGTTGTTTTCCCAGGTTGGAAAAACAGAACCAGAGGTTGTTTACCAACCTACCACCTGCTGTTTTGTCCAGCCAGGTTGGTTCTGTTGCTTGGAATTATTTGGGATCATCCCTGGTTGTTCCCAGGTTGATTCCCAAGGTCCTTGCTAGCTAGAACTATTTATTCCTTCTCTGTTTGTACCTGAATATAGTCAAATTGATTCATGCGAATTCCTTCCTCGCTGGAATTTCGTTTCTGCGCTATTCGACGGCGGAATGCTACCCGAGTCAACGCTAGTATGCTAGCACTCCAACGCTAGGCAAACGCTGTCCGAGCCATAACTTAGTAATGGCAGAACTTTTCGCGAGGCAACTTGGCTCATTTTAAAGCTCTTGGAGCGAGCTTCGATATAGCGAATTCTCAGCTTAATCCGATCGACGGTCTGCACGGCACGCTGCGCGACGTTCAAGGTACTCTTGCTGTTTTGACTAAGTCCTTCTTGATCCCTCTCTCTACAAACTCGGACCCGAGGATAGGGGCTGGTCTTGTACCAGGCACCCAGGGACCCTTGGAGGTGACCCCGAGGAGAGGTTTTAAGTTTGATTAAGTCCTAATAGCTTGAGTTTATTAGGCCCTTACACCAACAAACTGATCAGCCCATCTACCTCTCTTACGGTGCACCAGTTGTCTTCACTCCAAAACCAGACGGCAGTTTACGGATGTGCATCGACTACCGCGCACTGAACAAACAGACAGTAAAAAACAAATACCCCATACCGCGCATAGACGACCTACTGGACCAACTGCGCAATAGTGCAACATTCTTTTCAAAGCTGGATCTACGCTGGATTACTGAGAGATCAAGATAACTCGACCCACAAAACGTCGTTCCGCACGAGATACGGCTCCTACAAATACTTGGTGATGCCGTTCGGACTCTGCAACGCACCAGCGACGTTCCAGGCGAAAGGAGATGAATCACATCTTACGGCCCTTGCTGGACGAGTCGTGTATCTGGATGACATGCTTATCTACTCCAAGAACATGAAGGAGCACGTGGAGCATCTACGGAAGGTGTTCGAGATCCTGCGGAAAAATAAGTTCTAGGCGAAGCTGTCAAAGAGCGACTTCGCACTGAAGAAGGTGCAGTTTCTCGGGCACATGGTGAGTGCGGAGGGCGTACACGTGGACCCGCGGAAAATCGAAGCCGTTAAAAAGTGGAAAGTCCCGGAGAACGTGAAGGAGTTGCAGCAGTTCCTAGGCTTCGCCAATTACTACAACAGGTTCGTGCCGCAGTACGCTAAGATAGCAGCGCCACTAACCGACCTACTGAAAAAGGATACGCCCTACAAATGGGATACTCCTCATCAGCAAGCCATGGAACAGCTACAGACAGCACTGACCACAGCGCCAGTACTCATCCTACCGGATCCAGATAAAGAGTACGTGGAGGAAGCAGACGCTCGTTACGCGGCAGTCGGAGCAGTACTAATGCAGGATCACGGACGCGGTTTGCAACCCATCGCCTACCTCAGTAAGAAGCTACACGGAGCAGAACTGAACTACCCCATTCACGACAAGAAAGCTCTAGCGATGGTCGTAGCCTTCAAGGCGTGGAGGTGTTGCCAGAGGGAGCCAAGACCACTGCAGAATCAAATATCTAAAGTCGCAGCCGATGCTCAAGGGTCTGTTCCAACATGGGTACTCCGTGGACGCAGAGATCGCTTACAACAACGCCTCACATGCGGCCACATAGAAATCTCCTTTTTTTCCTGTGTTGCGTACGGGAATTACTCACACCACAGCAGCCCACAACACCGACACACGTCCAAGCTGCACACGAATTCGTCACCACCATGCAGCAGCTATGGGAGAAGACTCAGCGACGTCTCACCACGATGCAAAACTCCCAGAAGCAGTATGCCGATCGCCAACGACGAGATCACTCAGTAGCAGTCGGAGATCAGGTCATTTCTCCCCTGGCGGCGTCTCACCTATCATCCAAACTCCGGCCTCGCTACTGTGGTTCTTTTCATGTGGAGGCACAAGTGACACCAGTTACATTCCGCTTGCACAGGTGGAATCTTCACAACGCTTTCCATGTCCAGCTACTGAACCCTACAAGGACCCAACCAACAGTTCCAGGGACGGCAGCTACCGCCACCACCACCTGTACTCGTACAGGATGAACCAGAGTACGAGATCGAGCACGTTCTCACTCATCGGCGCCGTGGCGGCAAGACCCTTGATTTCCTGATACGCTGGAAGGGATACGACCTTACTGAGGACAGTTGGGTGCCAGAAGCTGATATGGGCAACGCACGCCATGTTCTAAAAAACTATCTTGTCAAGCAATGTGTATCTCACGCCACCCAGCTTTGAGGGAAGGACGTGCGAGAGTACGACGGCCTATGCCAGCTATGCTTGCTTGCCTTTACTTTATTATGCTATTTCTAGTTTAGGGTTAACTTATCAACAATAGATATCCTTGATTTCCTAGATTAGGTGCATTTTTATATTTTATTATAGTTAGAGCACCGAACCAGGTTACATGTACAGAACTCAAGCTTATTCGGTTCCCACCGAATTGCTTTCTACCGAGTTCGGGAAGGTTCTGTTCAGGACAATTCGCGACTCTCAGAACATTCGCGTAACACATGGGTTACCTGCCTTGTGTCGAACATATAGCATCGCCTTATACCCAGGCGAATCATTCAATTCAAACCCACTTTTCTGAGCTCGATCCTCGATCCTCACATCAGCTCTGACCCACGGAGAATATCAGGATGCAGAAGAATCTCCTCCACTGCATACCATTCAATCTCGTACAGACGCAAGCCAATCTGCACCTGCTGCTGCTGCTGCTGCTACTGCTGCTGCTGCTGCTGCTGCTGCTGCTGCTGCTGCTGCTGCTGCTGCTGCTGCTGCTGCTGCTGCTGCTGCTGCTGCTGCTGCTGCTGCTGCTGCTGCTGCTGCTGCTGCTGCTGCTGCTGCTGCTGCTTCTGCTGCTGCTGCTGCTGCTGCTGCTGCTGCTGCTGCTGCTGCTGCTGCTGCTGCTGCTGCTGCTGCTGCTGCTGCTGCTGCTGCTGCTGCTGCTGCTGCTGCTACTGCTGCTGCTGCTGCTGCTGCTGCTGCTGCTGCTGCTGCTGCTGCTGCTGCTGCTGCCAGTACTTGTACATGGCGTCTTCCACAAACTTGACGTTACGGCTGACAAGCGTCTTCTTGCTCATGGGGTCCCACATCAGCCACCCCTTCGAGTCAGGAGCCATCCCAAGATGGACAGCCCACACAGCAGCAACTTCCAGCTTGTGCATGTGCTCCTTAGCCACCATCACAATCCCCATGCATCCCCGCACCTGCATCATGTCAATGGATAACTTCTTCCCAAGTCAACGCTCGTACGGGACCCAGTGTTTCTCATCAAAATGCGCCAAGACCCTGTTCTTGACCGTGATGACATGGCGAACAGCTTCTGGCCAGAACTTGTAGGGCTTCTCAACAGCCCCCAATAAGCCGCCTCGCCAATGGTCCGGTTGGCACACTCAGCTATGGCGTTCTGCTCCGGTGTTCTAGGGCAGGTCAGCTAGTGTGGATCTTGTTCCTAATAGTAAGCGCGTTACATATCCATATGGATCATCCAAAGAGTAAGTGCGTACTTATCCATATAGTTTGTACTTGGAGTAAGTGCGTTACTTACCCATATGACTGTTGCTAATGTTGGTGTAAGGGCCTAATAAACTCAAGCTATTAGGACTTAATCAAACTTAAAACCTCTCCTCGGGGTCACCTCCAAGGGTCCCTGGGTGCCTGGTACAAGACCAGCCCCTATCCTCGGGTCCGAGTTTGTAGAGAGAGGGATCAAGAAGGACTTAGTCAAAACAGCAAGAGTACCTTGAACGTCGCGCAGCGTGCCGTGCAGACCGTCAATCGGATTAAGCTGAGAATTCGCTATATCGAAGCTCGCTCCAAGAGCTTTAAAATGAGCCAAGTTGCCTCACGAAAAGTTCTGCCATTACTAAGTTATGGCTCGGACAGCGTTTGCCTAGCGTTGGAGTGCTAGCATACTAGCGTTGACTCGGGTAGCATTCCGCCGTCGAATAGCGCAGAAACGAAATTCCAGCGAGGAAGGAATTCGCTTGAATCAATTTGACTATATTCAGGTACAAACAGAGAAGGATTAAATAGTTCTAGCTAGCAAGGACCTTGGGAATCAACCTGGGAACAACCAGGGATGATCCCAAATAATTCCAAGCAACAGAACCAACCTGGCTGGACAAAATAGCAGGTGGTAGGTTGGTAAACAACCTCTGGTTCTGTTTTCCAACCTGGGAAAACAACAACCAGGTTCAGGTTCTAAAAACAGAACCTGTTTTGTCTTTGCCCAACCAGCCAAATGCTGGTTCCGCTGGTTTCCCCTGGCCTTGTAGCATGCAGATACAGACAAACAACATCCAACCTTCACCTAAATTGTACCCCTATAGTGCCTTCCCTGCTACACTATAGTTAACCAAACAAAACAGTACAATTCCGAGTTGGATAGAACTGAATCTGCGCAATCAACTCAACCGAACTGCAAAGCTTCCATCTTGGGTTCCTTTGCGAGCTCGTCCTTTCTGCTTGCACTGTTCATAGCGCGTACAATGTTGTGCCGAAGCGCACATTGCGCGAGTACCTGCAAATGCATCAAGCGAAAAACTGCGAAAGCAAACAAACACACGAACATACCATTCACACCCAAATGCATTCGCACATGCATACTCGTACAAACAGACGGCAGGATGTCGTGCAATGTAAATTTGCACCCAACACACTCCCCCTCAGCCTGCCGGCTGCATCCCCATCATTCCATGCTAGTTCATGCTCATTCCACTCATGCGCACACAACGCCAATGAGGCTCATCCGCAAGCCTCTTGGTGAGAAAGTCTGCTGGCTGCTGGTGAGTCTTGATGTAGATCGGATGCACCGTCCCCCTCTTCACCTCCTTACGCAGCCAGTGCCACTTGATACGCATGTGCTTGTTCAGGCCATGAAGCACAGCGTTTCTGGCCATCCCAAGAGCCCCCTTGCTATCACAAAACAGCGGCGTAGCAACTTTCTGCTCCTGGCCAATCTCCTCTAACAGCCTCCTCAGCCAAATCACCTCCTTCACCCCATGGAACATCGCCATGTACTCTGATTCTACGGAAGAGAGTGCCGTCTCCGTCTGCTTCTTGGACCTCCAACTAACAGGTCCTCCCCCAACTACGCAGATGTATCCTCCCACAGATGAGGAATCCTCCTTCTCAGAAGCCCACGTAGCATCGGTAAAGCAAGTGAGAAATAGCTTGCCTTCTCCAAGCCTCTCCCCCTTCTCTTTCAGCACCTCCACCCCTTTCTGCTTCACCTGTGCAGATGCGGAGTATTGAACTCCAATGCTTGGGTGAGAGTTCAGGTACTTCACCACACGCTCAGCTGCATCCACCTGCTCCTCTGATGGATTCTGCACCACCCTAGCCAGCTGCCCAACCGAGAAAGAGATGTCGGGCCTCGTGTGAACTGCTGCGTACAAGAGGCTGCCCACCAAGGACTGAAATTGCTGCTGCTCTTCAGCTTCAACCCCTTCATCCTCTGCAGCCTTCACAAGCTTGAATTCTGCTGGCAGGGGAGTTGCAACCTTGCGCTCATTCTCAATCCCATACTTCTCCCCCAGCTCCTTGATGAACTTCTCCTGGTGCAGCTTCAACCACCTGTGATCAGGATCCCTCTCCACGTGCATCCCGAGGTAGTACTTTACCTCCCCAAGGTTCTTGCACTTGAAGTTCTCCATCAGTTGCTGCTGCACTTTCTGGATCTCCTTCATGCTGCTGCTGAAGAGAAGAATGTCGTCCACATAGACCAGAAACAGCACCAGCTTCTCCCCCTCGCCCTTGAGAAAGAGGCTCTCATCACAGCTGCTGGTCCTGAATCCCATCTCCTCTAAAACAACTGCCAACTTCTGGTACCAGCAGCGTGGCGCCTGCTTCAAGCCGTAGATGGACTTGTTGAGCTTGCACACCCTGCCCGTACCATCCTCATACCCAGGCGGCTGCGTCATGTACACATCCTCCTCTAAAATCCCATTCAGGAATGCCGTTGAAATATCCATCTGAATGATGAATTTCCCACTAACAGCTGCATCTGCCAACAAGACACGGAGGGTAGGGGGTTTGGCAGTGGGAGCAAAGATCTCGTTGAAGTCCTGCTTCTCCTTCTGCATAAACCCCTTCGCCACCAGCCTACTCTTGTAGATGGTGACCTGCCCCTTGTCATCGGTCTTGATCCTCAGCACCCACTTGCATTGTATCGCTTTCTTTCCATCAGGCAGCACCACCAGATCCCATGTCCTATTCTCCAGCAGACTCTGGTACTCAGCATCCCTAGAAGCCAGCCACTTGTCCCTATCTGGTCCAGCTAATGCCTCCTTCAAGCTAGCTGGTTCCTCTGGTGCAGGGGCAAGAAAGCAGTACGCAGGCTCGTCCTCCTCATCCGGGTCATAGCCATGCGGTAGAATCAGCAATGCCTCTTCGGTCCCTAGCTGCTGCTCTGCTGCATCAGTTCCTGCAGTCAGCTTCTTAGTAGCCATACGGGTACGTCCTGGCCTGGAGACGGGTGTCTCCCATCCCTTCATAACGACACCCTTCGGCTTCTTAGTTTTCCCCTGCTGCTGTTCTCCTCCTTTGGAATCAGCAGCTTCACTACTGCTGCCGCCACTTTCCACACCATTTTCTCCACCAGCAGGTGCCTCCTGTACCTTCTCTCCATCACCATTTCCAGCAGCTGCCTCCTCTCCCTCCTCCCACACACTAGGAGTCAGGTCCAGCTGCATGGTGATCTGCTCCATCTGCTGGGACACCCTTGCCTCCGGCTGTTTCTCCCAGCTCCCATACATCATGCCCTCAATGAATTTCACATCCCTGCTGTCAAACAAAACACCCTTGGATGGTTCCCACAGCAGCCATCCCTTGCTCTCAGCAGCCAGCCCCAAATGCACACACCAGATTGCACTCGCCCCCAACTTACTGCGGTAGGTCTTGGGGACGTGGGCGACTGCCATGCAACCGAACACCCTCAGCATGTCCACCGGCGGCTTCTTCCCAAGCCACCTCTCCAAAGGCACCCACGAGTCATCCCCAACCTTGGTGAGCACCCTGTTCCTAGCGACAGTGGCGTGCCGGACAGCATGAGGCCACATAGAGTTGCTCAGCCCAGATTCTATGAGCAGCGCCCTAGCTGTCTCCAGAATGGTCCGGTTTGCCCGTTCTGCTACACCATTGGACTGTGGGGTATAAGCCGTAGTCAGCTCTCTCTGGATGCCCTGCTTCTTGAGCCAGGCCGTCATTTCAGCTCCAAGGAACTCACCACCCCGGTCTGTCCTAATCCGCTTCACTACACACTCCGCCTGCTTCTCCACGAATGGCAGCCAATCGTCCCGTATCGTGGAGGCGGCGTGGTCCTTCTGCTTCAGCGGATACGCCCACATCAGCCTGCTCCAGTCATCCACAATTGTAAGAAAATACCGCTCCCCCTTGTGCCCTTGCACCGGCAGCGGCCCCACCAAGTCCATGTGGACCAGCTCCAAAGGCTTCTTGCTCCTGCCAGCCACACTATGGAAAGGGAAACGGGTGAACTTTGAAAGCAAACAGATTTCACAGTTGTCATCGGGTGGCTGTCCGTTCAGCTTCAGACCCTTAACGGCTCCATCCTTCTCCAGCTGCTTCAGCAAAGGCATTGCCACATGCCCTAAGCGCCGGTGTGCCGTTGCCCAATCTGTCTCCCCAGATCTGGCCGACACTTTTACACCAACCCCTCCAACGGCATTGCACTCCCCCTGGGATGCAGACCCCTCTCCAGCCTGCCCCCCACCATGCCACGCCAGGGCCGGCAGCTGCCACATAGATCTGTACACGTCCTTGCTCTCGTGCAGATCCCAAAGCACCCGATTGCCCAGCTTCCCCTTATAAGTGCGTGCCCCATCCGTGTTGGTGTTCACCCCAGCCTTGCCAAGCTTACGGAGGGAGATAAGGTTGGCCTTCAGGTCGGGGACGAAGAGAACGTCGTGCAGCACCACCGGCTTGCCATCCGCTCCCTTAAACACAGCTCGTCCCGCACCAGCCACCTTCAACATGTGTCCAGAGGCGGAGCACACTTCATTGATCGGTGCAGCTCGTACTTCGTCCAGCAGGTCCTTGCGCGGCGTCATCGTCCAAGCAGCGCCTGTGTCCAACACCCAATAGTCTAGGGGGTGCAGCTCTGCTCCAACTTTGGCAGAGGCGTCTCCTTGCTCCCCCTTGTCTCCCACATGGAAGAATTGGCCCGCGGTGCGCTCCTTCTTCTCCGCACCGCCGTTGCCCTTCGGGTTGTTGTCGGACGAATCAGCGACCATGTTGGCGCCGTTTTTCTGGTTCCTCCGCGCGCCGCCATCCTGGTGACGATTCTGGGGGGTCCATCCATCGGGTTTCTTATAGCACAAAAACCAGGGGTGCCCTTCCTTCTCACAATACCAGCAACTCCCTTTCATTTTGCCACCAGCACCCGACTTGCCCCCACGTCCAGATTTCGCACCGCGACCCCAACCGGTACCTCCTTGTTGGTCGTTGGAGTCGTCGTCTTTCTTTGCA